ACTATGAGTCGGAACTGACTCTATGACACCTAACAACAGAAAAATATATATCATAGAAAAATATATATTCTAGAATATATATACATATTCTAGATACCAGACACTTACCAGATATCTAATTTGCAAATATTTTCTCCAATTTTGTGGATTGTCTTTTCACTTTCTTGATAGTGCCACTCACTGTGCCAGGTGCAAACCAATTACTATGACAGGTAAGATCCCTGCCCCAAGGAACTTGTCTTCCAAAAGCGGGGGCCAGAAACAACCATAATATGTAAACAATAATTTTCTATTAAGATCAAAGCTGGGAAAGAAGCCATTCAATCCAAATACCAGCACTGCAGTCTCCTAATTCATAAATATGGTAGAGATTTAGACTAGCGAATGGGTTTTCAAACTCTGTCCCTCAGAACCCTAAAGTTCAGATTGTCAAACTTTGGTGGATCAAGGTTCCCTATTAAAAAAAAAAATATTAAAATGCTATGGGGCCATAGGAATCTTCGTTTTGCTCATAAACCATACAACTTTGTATATCCTTTCACGGGGCCCATGGACTCCTTAAAGTTGACCTGGGTGAAACTAGAGGGGTAGATCTAAACCTCGACCCTTCCTTCATCCAGATAAGCCCTATTTTTTAACATATTGAATGTTCAAGAAAGATTTTGTTTAAGTGTACTGCAGCCCACACACCCCACCCCAGTTGCCAACAAATTGGAAACACTGAGTTAGATGATATATCTGTGTTTGTAGTTCCAACATTCAATTTTTAAAATTTCTACCCATCAAGATGATTTCCCTGTTTACTTTCTTCAGGTAAACATAACAAGATTGTGTTTACTTACTTGTTTTCAGATGGTTTTGTGGTTGTTTGAGGTGGCACTTTCTTACTCAGATCACTGTCATTGTCCTGGGACATTCACTTGCCTGCCACACTGGCCAATTATTTACAAATTGGAAACAGCTTAAATGTCTATCAACAGGGGTTTAGATGAATAAATTGTGGTGAATCCATTCCAAGGACTATACTACAGCCATTGAAAACAATATAGTGAATTTCTGTGTGCACATGTATACAGATAGCTAATATATATTAAATGAAAAATCGAGTTTGCAGTACAGTTCATATAATATGATTCCATTTTTGTAAAAACTGGAAAATATGTTTTATGTTTAAATAGCTGGAAGGATACACGAGATAATATGACTTTCTCTAAAGAGTAGAACTGGAGGTTAGGGAGGGCTTTTACTTTTCACTCTATGTCTTCTATAAATTTTGATTTTTTCAATGAGAAGTTTTATGTAACATTAATTACAGTCCATGAATATATTTTCAGTGTAAAATAATAAAGTAATAAAGAAAATATAGCAAGCTAAATGATAGCTGGGCTTTCATGTTTTTCTCCATAAATTTTATAGTCAAAAATTGTTAAACATCTCATTAGCTGAGGTATTTGTTTCACTGGGGTGCCGAGAATTCAGAAAGTGATTTTTAACAGCAGATTGCTCCTGTAGAGAAATAAATTTGTGAGTTTTCTGAACTAGAATGAGTTTAAGTTTGCAAGTCAAATAAAGAAACTTCAGCCAATATTGAACTAAACACTGCCCAGACCCATCTCCAAAGTGTACACACACACGTACAGGTGCGCACACGCACACACCAAACATCATACAAATGTAAACACAGACTCTTTAACTGTGGCACAGTCTTACCCCTTAATGCCTCGTAAACAAGAGGAAGCTACATGGTCTCTTATGATCTCACCTCAGAATTCAGAGCCTTATTTCTGCTGTACCGAATGGGTAGCTTTCTCAGGCCTGACCAGATTTGAGGGGAGGGTACGTAAATCCACCTCTCAATGGGGGGCGTATTAGATTCCTATTGCTGCCGTCAAAAATTACCAAACTCAGCAGCTTAAAATAACAGAGATTTGTTCTTACAGATCTGGAGGTCAGACGTCCAAAATGGGTCTCACTGGCTAACGTCAAGGTATCAGCAGGGTTGAATCTGTTCCTTGAAATTTCCAGCTCCTGGAGGCTGCCTGCAATCCCTGGCTCGTGGCCCCTTCCAGCAAATGTCTGCTGCTGTCACCGCATCTGCTTCTTTGACTCTCCTGCCCGCGTCTTCCCCTTATAGGGCCTGTAATGGATTGAATTGTGTCCCCCAAAAATATGTGTATCAATTTGGCTAGGCAATGATTCCCAGTATTGTGGGATTGCCCACCATTTTGTCATCTGATGTGATTTTCCTGTGTTGTAAATTATACCTCTTTGATGTTAATGAGGTGGGATAGGCGGCACTTATGTTAACGAGGCAGGACTCCATCTACAAGATTGGATTGTGTCTTGAGCCAATCTCTTTTGACATATAAAAGATAGAAGTGAACAGAGACAAGGGGACCTTATACCACCAAGAAAGCAACACTGGGAGCAGAGCTCATCCTTTGGACCCGGGATTCCCGTGCGGAGAAGCTCCTAGTCCAGGGGAAGGCTGATGAAAAAGACCTTCCTCCACAGCCGACAGAGAAAGCCTTCCGCTGGCGCTGATGCCCTGAATTTGGACTTCTAGACTACTAGACTGCAAGAGAATAAATTTCTGTTTGTTAAAGCCATCCACTTGTGGTATTTCTGTTACAGCAGCACTAGATGACTAAGACCGGGCCCATGTGCTTACACTGGGCCCCACCCGAATAATCTAGGTTAATCTCCCCTTTTCAAGATCCTTAATCACATCTGCAATGTCCCTTTTGCCATGTAAGGTAACATACTCACAGGTTCTGGGGCATGGGCATTTTGTGGGAGGGCATAATTCTGCCTGCTACAGGTGGATAGACAAAGTTTTTGCAGCCACATTTTAAAACTACAATGACAGATAAAGAAACCAAGACTTAGAGATTTCATCAAGTTCATTTATTTGATAAATATTTGGAAGACCTTCTCAATGTGAATTATACCATCTCTCAGCTTGAAATTGGAAGAACTGGGATAAGAATCACAGGATTCCTTCTCTCTTTCTTCTTCCCTTGGTGTGTGTGTGGGACTCCTTAGCATCTGTGGGAGCACCCTGCCTGAGAGGAACGAATATCTTCGGAGGAGGGACTCCATTCTGCTCTGAGTGAACTATACCATCTCAGGAGATAAGCCGGTGGAACTCTTCCCTCTCATGCCCCAGACCAAGGTGAGGGGCCTCTAGTTCTTCACTTCTCACTCTCTACTCTCCCTCCTTCTTAAGAAAGGAAACTAGTTAGGAAGAGATGCCTAAAGAACTACTATAAACTGCAATGCAAAGTAGGGATAAACAGGCTTCAACTAGGGCTAATTGATATAGTCTGGCCTTCATGAAAGGACTCAAATTTTAGATTTTTAAAGTCACCTGTAGTAATTTGTAAATTCCTATTCTTGTGTTGGGGGTTAAACATATTAGTTAAATGTAAATATTTAACATATATCAATATTTTTTATATTTTAATATTCTAGATCCTTAAAAATGTGATCCTATGCTTCGCTAGATCTCTGAGAAGTCCTGTCTGATGATATAAAGTGAAAACCACTTGATGGAGGCTGACCTATACATCACTCTGGGGACAACTGAATCTACCACCCCATCCCAGTTGTTAACATTTCCAGAATAGGAAGCAGAGTGAACTGATTATAACTGCTAAGTAGAGGCTACGAAATGAGATCTATTCTCTCTCTGTTCCACATCTGTTACAGAGGTCTAGAGGAGAGAAAGTAGGGAGATGGGCTGAAGACCTAAGGCTTAAGCTTTGGTTATTTCTGAGATTACTCAGCCCATGTCACTAATCAAGAAATGAGAGAGGGTTTCAGGACAGAATTCAGGAATAAAGTTCAAATAGTTTCCTCGTGGGTCCCAAAACGGTTTCTCTTGGGAATGTTATGGTGACTTTAGGTACAAGAGAGCTAAGTGTAAAATCTCTCCCCCGTCACCTGATTGTGAGCACCCTGGAGGCTGATTCACTTGTATATTCCTTTGTTTTCTTGATAGTAGTGTAGACAACATCCTCAGCACACTATGAAATAATCCCTGCTGATTCTGGAGCATCACAATTGCAAAAATCTTAAAGTGACTCCTGTAGGTTCTTTCTGCTTTTAGGAGAACAATTATGGAATCCTTAAGAAAGGCTTTCTCAGCGTCATTTGGAGGAGCTACATTGTTCGTATGTCCTTCAGCTTCCTGTTTTTACTGCCAACCTTAATAGCTAAGCAGCTATTAACAATTGCTATATAACATCTATAGAATAGATATGGGGAGCAATTCAGTCTCTTCCATGTCACTGACCTTCACAAATACCATGGATACTTATAAAAACATAAAATTAATATAGAGCTCAAAGAATGTATTCTAGATTTGTATCCTATCCTATTTTATCAAATAGGATTTCAAGAAAAACCAAATGAACTTTAAAGCCAGAAGTAAATGAAACTCATTATAAAACCAAAAATTAAGAGGAAAATGTCAACGCTGTCCAACTCCTGGGACAGAAAAAATGAAAATGGAAATAATGAACAATTTTGAAACCATCAGTAAGAATATTATATACAAAAATTAAAGAATGTGACCAAAGCCAGACATACAGGAATATTCATAACCTTAAATGCTTTTATCATGAAAAAAAGACAAAACAAAGAATGAAGCTAAAATATGCTGCTATTTGTGGAATCCTGCTGTATGTAGGACCTACACTTAAAAACATTTCATTTATTCTTCACTGTACCTAAGCAGTGTTGACATTCATAGTACTTATGAGCCTCATTTTTTGCTCTTATCTTTTTGAAATGTTAAGAAGTATAACTAGTCATTGTAAGGAAGAAATAAGAGCTGTGGAGACAGAATGAATCAAATCTAGAACAGCTGCCAAGAGTAGTTAGATATTTAAGAATGTATATACTTTGGAAAATGGGTTTTTAAAAGGGAGGGGAAGCTGATCTTATAGCTCAAACAAAACTATTTTTTCAAGACAAATGGACTGTTGCAGGTTAAGATTTTTATGTGTCACTGTCAACTTCTGTAGGACCAGTTTTCCTCAACAATTCTTAGAAGAATCTTCTGTAACGTGAGTGATTTTGTGCATAGTAAGGCCTGTTCTTTGCCTGAAGCTTTGAGAACAATACCTACACTTGTATGGCTTCTCCCCTGTATGAATTCTTAAATGGATAACCAGGCTTGCTTTCTGTCTAAAGCTTTTCTCACAGTAATTACATTTAAAAGGTCTCTCTTCAGTGTGAGTTCTCTGGTGCAAAGTAAGAGCTGTCAGTCGAATAAAACTTTTTCCACAAGTATTACATCTATGAGGTTTTTCACCTGTATGAGTTTTCAGATGTCTTTTAAAACTTGATGAATGGCAAAAACTTTTCTTGCACTCAAGGCATTTATGTGTTTCTCCTTCAAAATGAATTTTGCGGTGCTCTATAAGGTGTGACCGCCGAGTGAATCGTTTTTTACATACGGTGCATTCATGGGGCCTTTCCCCTGTGTGAAGTCGTTGGTGTCTGTAAAAGTCTGACCTACGAAGGAAGCTTTTCCCACATTCAGGGCAATTATGAGGTTCTGCTCCTGAGTGGATAATCTGGTGTCCAGTAAGCTGTGACTTCCAAGGAAAACATTTACCACAATGAGAACATTGGTGAGTTTTCCCTTGTGGACTCTTTTTCTTACTGGGTCTAGGAGTGGGAAGTGTTTCCAGGTTAGAGCTCTCAGGTTTTTCTCCTAGAGGGCAGATCTGATTATCTAAAAGCTTTGATAAATATGGGAGGTTTTCCCCTTTATTTTCTAATTGTTTATCATTTTCTTGTAAAACTTGAGTATGGAGAGCATTATCCTCAAAAGTAAAAATAAATTGATACATATTCTCCAGTGTTTTCTGTTGGGAAATATTTTCTTCAGTTTCGCTACAAATATCAAAACCTAAGAGAAGAAATAGAAACTGCCAATGTTATCATGTTCCAAGAACTGTGTAACCAAATACTGTTTAATCTCTGACCTTCTTTTCTGACCACTATGTTTATCCTTGCTTTAAAGGCTAATTCATTATTTTAACAAAGTGTAGTCCCTCATATTAAAATAGCTGTCTTGAATTCCCTCTATTTAATCTTGTTTTGATTATCTCCATTAGCTCCTTTCCAAATGACAGGAGTCTAAGTGTGGCAAAGCTTTTCACAAACAGCTGTTAAAGTGATTCATAGACATGCAGTTCTCAATAATACATTAATTTATGCCATGCCATGTTCCAAAAAGGGATTTAGCTTTTGTTTGCAGTTCATTAATAGGTATGCAACTTTCTGTCAGTTATTAGCTAACAGAAAATGTTCCCAAAATACAAACGGTATACGTATCTTAGTTCTTTCTTTTGTGATGACTATATACATATATTCATTACATATGTACATACATATTCATTACGTATATAGCCACAAGCTAACTTCCTGCTGACAGGGAATATAATCCAGACTTCCACAATCAATTGAATTCTTCAATGATTTTAAATTTTTTTCTTTTTTTCCCCACTCTGTCAGCATCTTGTGCTTTCCACTCAATCTCCAATAGGCCCTAGTGGTAGGTCTAGAAGGGACCAAACCCCTCTCTCCAAGCGGAGGGAGGAGTCTCCCCTGAAAAGTGAGATTATTCACTGTGCCCTTCACCACAGTCAGCCAGGCACAAGGAGAGGGAGATGGCTCTCACAATGGAAGCCAGCAGAGATGGAGAAAGCCTTAGGTAAGCATCAGAGCCTGAAGATCCTTGGCTTTGAGCGAAAATGCAGTAAAGTATCCAACAGATCAGTTCTCATATGACTAGAGGGCACTGGGAAGCAAGAAACCCAGGCAAGGTACCTGAAAAGTTATACAGATCCTTGAATTCAAGTATAATTATGTTATCTGGCATGCTATCTTGCAGGGTCTGCCTACAGGCCCTTGTGCTTTCTCCTTCTGTACCATCCCTGGAAGATCTGGACTACCCTCGAGACTTCAGTCACCTTCTATAAGCCTTTGACTCGCAAATTGCTGCCTTGAACCCTGATCTCTCTCCTGAGCTCCATTCCACGTTGGCCATTTCCATCCGGACACCCATAATAAGCATCTCAAGCTCCACATGATCCAGTCTAAATTCACCTTGACCCACCAAATTGCCTCCTCTGTGTTCTCTATGTCAGTGAATAATAGGGTTTAGGAAATTAGTGTCTCTTACCAGGATGACCGCAACAACTTACTAAATGGTGTCCCTGCTTCCAGGCTTACCCACTCTTACTATATCCCAAGTGATCTAAAATGCAAATCTGTTTATATCATTCCCTGATTTAAGAACTTCCAATTTCCCCACTGCCCTGATAATAAAGCACAAACTCCTCAACAAGGCTGAAAAAGTTCTTCTTCATCCAGGCGCCTGCTTGTCTCTCCAGGCTCATATGCCGCCACTACCTCTCCTCTCCCCCTTGCTGCCCTGTCACTGCAGCCTGGCTGAACTACTCTCCATTCTTCAAATATGCATGCTTTCTGTGCCTCTGCACATCCTGTTCCTTCTGCTAGAGCCCTCTCCCCTCCCCACTCCACCACTCATCAGGTGAACTCCTACTCATCCTACAGGTTTTATCCTAGATCCCACGTCCTCCAGGAAGTCTTCCTTCTCTTCCAAAGACTGGTTAGGTGGTCCTGCTGTGCACATTGATAGCATCCTACTCCCTCTACCACATCACTTTACAGTTCCTATTTACATATCTGACTCTTCCGCAGACTGTAAGCTTCAGGAGGGCTGTGTCAGTCTTGTGTACTACCGATAACCTTGCGTCTGGCACACAGCCTGGCTCTTAACAGCTGTTCATATACGTTTGTCGAATGACTAAATGTGAAGATGTGGAAAGGGACAAGGTTGCTGAGTGCTGGCAGTGAGCCAGTAATGGATGGATCAGAAGCCTATGTTTTGTAACTGGGACTGTTTGCAACTTATTTCCACTTTTTACTGTTTTCTCAGTATTTCACAGTCTCTTCAAAGTGTCAGTCTGCTGCAGTTGTGCCTGGGGGACTTGGGGAGAGGTTTCTGGCCACACTTGGGCCAATGCTTTGTAGGGGAGTGTGGGGACGGGAGCGCCTGAAACAGTGTAAAACCCCACAGGGAAGTGACACATGGGGCAACCAGGCTATGCAGTCCCGCTGCCTTTCCCCATCAGGACATTCTCCTTCCATTAATAACCCTGTGGCGCCTGGGCCAGTGGTTCTCAAGCTTTAAATTATCATGCATCTCACTCGCTGGGCAGCCTGTGAGACACGCATCCTAGGGGATTTGGATGCTGACAGTCAGTTTACTGCACTTTGAGAAACACGGCTCTCAAAGGTTTTGATTTAATAATATAGATATGTCTTTCATAGTGGTTGAGAGCTCGACTATTAACCAAAAGGTCAGCAGTACGAATCCACTGGGTGCTCCTTGAAACCCTATGGGGCAGTTCTACTCTGTCCTATAGGGCCGCTATGAGTCAGAATTGACTCGACGGCAAGGGGTTTTCATAACTTTGTAAGTGGTGAAGCCCCTTTCAAGGTTCTGAGGGGAGTGTATATTACTCTAAGTATTAAGTTTGAAGCTCTTATCACATAAAAGCAAGTGAGGAGGACCCAAGAGTGATAGAAATTCCTCAGGATCCACAACATCGCACATCCCAATGATTAAAATTTGCTGGGGGAAACGAGTCCTTATCCAGAGTATCTAACTTCCCATAGTTTTCCTGTATAAAATTCCAGATGCAAAGTCTTCTGAGCAGGGTCATTAGCTTAATGGGTTCCTAATTCCATTTTCTCTAACTGCTTTGTTCCCTGCTGTTCCCAGAGATAATTTGTTCCTCCTCTTTCTCAGAATGGTCCATTTCCACTGTGTAATCAGTGTTTCTAACCCTAAGCCCAACCCCAGAGAGCTCTTGCTCTCTCAGAACAGAAACAGAAGAAGCGACATAAGCCCCTTGCCTTACCTGGCTCGGAAAAGGGCTGGCATTCCCTAACATCACCATCTGTCGGGTTCTGTGGCCCTGCCTGTGGGATCCACTCCTCTGTCACTGTGGCCTCCTGGGAAGGTCCTAGGACGTGAAGCTCAGGTAACTCCAGTTGGATGTCTGGTGACTCCAGTTGGATGTCTGGTGACTCCAGTTGGATGTCTGGTGGTATGTGTGTTGTTCCCACTGGTGCCAGTTCTTCCAAGAGCATTTCCTGCCCACCGACCTGGGGGACATGACAGAACCCATCGCTCTGACATCTAGACCAGCACTGCCAGTGGACATACAATGCAAGCTACACATGTAATTTTACATTTTCTAGTGGCCATGAAAACAATAGAAAGAAACAGCAGAGGTCAATCTTAATAGCATGTTTTACTTAACACAGTATATCCACAATGTCCTGAATTCAACATGTAATTAATATAAATTATTAATGAGGTATCTTACATACTAAGCCTTTGGGACATTTCTAGTGCTCAACACCCATTGTGGCTAGCGGCTACTGTATTGGGCAGCACAAGTCTAGACCATATGAAGCTAAAATCTAAATTAATTAGCAAAACCCAGAAGTGATTGAAAGGTGGGAAACCACAAACTCCTTCCATCCTAGGGCAGCAGAACACTTTGGAAGACCCCGGTTCAGCCTTATGCTCACAGCTACTACAAAGCCCCACCAACGGACACACTGCAGTGCTCCTAATGTCCACCTAGAAGCACTATGTGCCTTCTCCAAAGATCCCAGAGGTTTCACAGGGGGGTTCTCAACAGAGGACACTGCCACCCCGACCCCCTCCAAGGTGTTTTGGATATGATGGCAGGTGGAGGCTATTGCAGTCTAGTGGGCCAGGGATGGGAATATTATTCACAGTGCAGAATTATTCCACGTCCCAAACAGCTTTGGATTGTCCCTCTCAGGCATCCACATAGATAAAAAAACCTGTCAAGAACCTCACCTTCTTGGTCATATAACTACAAATATCTTTATAGTTTTAGCATAACTTGAATTTTCTAGGAATGCACTACTGTGAAAATCAAAGGAAGGCTATACTATTTTTTCGCTCAGAATTTTACCAGCAGTTGTGTGGAAAATTACGTGACTAGTAGCAACAGGGCTCACAGTATTTGAGCTGTATCAGCCTGAAATGCTGGCTGTTGCATTCACAGTGATTCTAAGCAGAGATGCAAGCATCTGACAACTTCATCAGGTCTTCATTAGGTATATACTGAAATACACATTGTTGGTGGTGGGGGTTGCCATCGAGTCAATTCCGACTCATGGTGTACACCATTAGTGTATAATCTAGTTTCCTTTTACTGTTGCTTTAGATTCCAGCTAGACTTTACTCGACTCAGGAGTGGTCAGGTTTTTTTCTGGAAAAGGCCAGACAGGAATATTTTAGGGTTTGTGGTCCACATTTGGTCTGTCAAATATATATATATACATATATATTTTTTAAATAACCCCTTACAAAGGTAAAAACCACTACTAGCTCATGGCTGAACAAAAACAGGCCATTTGCTAGATTAGGCCCCAAGGCCATGGAATATTATATTGACGTTTTTTTATTTGATGTATGCATATAAGCTACGTTTTCTCTAAACTTCACTTCAGGACAGTTAAGGGGACATCACCAAGTAACTGTTATAGATTGGGTTTGGGTCTAGAGTTGAGAACCACTGACTCATATGCTGAGTCCAGCATTAGAAAAAAAGTGAAACAGACTTGGGGGTGAAGAATAACACAAAGACCAGACATCTGAGCTAGTCCCAGCTGCCTCTGCTACTTCTTTTTCTCTAATGACAGAGATCCCACCTTCTTTTCTCACCTGCTGCTCTGGTATCTCAAGTTCTCTCTCTAAGTCTTCTATCAGTGCCAGAACACTTTCTCTATTCTCTGGGCGGTACAGCCTTACCCAGCTCTCTATCTCCGAGGGCAGAATAGTTAGGAACTGCTCCAACACTAGCAGCTCCAAGATTTCTTCCTTAGAATGCATCGTTGGCTTCAACCACTGACAGCAAAGCTCCCAGAGGTTGTTGAAAGCTTCACGAGGCCCGGCTGCTTCTTGGTATTGGAACTGCCTGAAGCGCTGACGGAAGATTTCACAGTCAGTATCATACTCTTTAAGCGTGGAGCCGTGATTCAAGGAGGCCTGGATTGCACAGCCCAGGTCCGCAGCCATCGCTCCCTTCCAGCAGCTTAGAACTTATCTAATATTCGAGGAGTCACCTATAGCTGAGGACAGGAAAATACAAGAAAGTAGAAATAGCAGTGGTTACGAGAGGGCATACTTACTTACTGGTTTACCTTACTTTTCACCAAAGCTTTAAAGCAGAAGTTCTTAATCTTTTTGGTGGTTTTAAGAAACTGATGAAAGGTGTGGACTCACTTCAGAGAAAAAGAAACATCCTTATCCAATTCTACAAACATTTATACAATTTCAAAAGGTTTGCAAAATCTCCAAGGCCATCCATGGACCTTCTAGAATTGCGCTGTCCCGGTAGGTACAAGACCCATGTTAAGATTTAAGTTAAAATTTAAAGTAAACATTCAGTTCCTCAGTCACACTAACCACATCGCAAGTGCTCACCAGTGGAAAGTTCTACTGACACACCTACTCGTCCAAAATCGACACAATGCCCTCATTTCACCCTTACTATGAAGGTCCCCTGAACTTTAGCGACAGAGCCATATCCAAGTTTGAGTTACCCTCTAGCTGTGTGGCCCAGGCAAGTGACTTAGCTGACACGCAGTGCCGTGGGCTCTAACATGAGAACGACAATAGCACGTACTTCATAAAATTTGCCGTCTGGCTGCAATTGCATGGAAGCGAATAGCAGCGTGCCTGGCACAGAGTAAGGTTACTGCTTGTTCCTCCGAAGCTTCTATTTCCCTAAACCCAGGCACCTCACCGTCCTGAGGGCATCTAGGAATTGTGCCGAACCAGGCTGAGGACACACACCCGTTAGCCCGCTCAACCTCACAGCTGGACAGCCCTCCCCTCACTGACCCAAGCCTGCGACCAAATCCACCAGGGAATGGGCTATACCAGGGCTCCTTCCAGCGGCCCCTCCGAATTGAAAGTTCCCTTCACGCAGGACTGGTGGTTTCTGCTCCAAACCCCCGTAATGATCTGGCCCTCACAGGACTGAAGAGTAAAACAACGTGTGCAGATAAGGTATCTGAGGGACGGCGAGCAGGACACATCCCGGAAAAGTTGAAAATATGGTTTAAGATTGGACGCAGATGCCGGTGTGGGGGTGGTCCCGCGAGCTCCTCAGTGGCCTCCCGCTGTCGCGAGGGGCACCAGCCCCCCTTGAAGGAATCCCCAGAAGGCCTGGCCGCTCCCCGCTGAACCCACACCCGGGGTAGGCCTGGAGGCAGCCACTTCGTGTGGTCCGAACCTGGCCTCTGAGGGAGCCAGGAAAACAACGCCCGTGGCCCAAGGCCGGCCCCCCACCACCCTCAGGCCTCGGCAGGACTCACTGACTCAGCGTACCCCACTCTCCAGCCAGCGCTCGCCCGCCCACAGCTCACGTGGAGGAAGAAGGAGGATTGGCTGGGGATCTCCCAGGATTCTTCTGGGCGCCAAACTGCTAAAGGAAGTGCCCATGATATAGCCCCGCCTCCAGGCCCAAGGGGCGGGGTTGGGTGGGGCCGAGGGTTGGAATCCAGTGAGGCTCCTCCCCTTTCCACCCCATAATAATGGAGCGGGCAGAAACTTCATTCAAGGCATTCAGAGGGGTCAGTGCGTCTCTAACTTTGCTAAGTGGGGAGGTTTCTTGGGAGAACTCCTTAAAATTCCAGAATTCTGAGCCAAGTTCTGACACCCGGACTCGTGGATTGCTTTGTGTTTCCCCTGTTCGGGGTTTGGACAACTCGTATCTGTGGATTTATTTTCTGCCAAATATGGGAAAGTTCCACCCATTCTTTCTTCCAATCCTCTTTCAACCCCACACTCTTTATCTCCTCCCCTTCTGAGATTCCGAAGAAAGGAGTGTTGGCTCTTTTGTTATTGTCCCACAGATCCCTGAGGAAGGCCTCTAGGAAAGCTCCCCATAATCAGGCCACCATACACCAGAAATGCAAGAGCATGGCCAGTGGGGGGAGGGGGGACATAGCTGAGTTCTTGACTGCAACTCCCTTCAGAGACTGCAATGCATTGGCTGTGAACCAAGTCTGGCTAGGAAGGAGAGCTTCCCCCCAAGGCCTGCCAGGTAGTCTTGTATTTACCTAGGGTGACGCCTGACAAGCCACTTGACAAGCAAGAGTCCTCAGATACAAATCTATTTAATATAAATACCTTACATGTAGTGTTAGCAATGCATCAGTGCATCTTGATTGCATGTTTCATCGATTTCAGATTGCAGAAATAATTACTGGTGACTGGAATGTGAAAGTTAGAAACAAAGAAGAAGGATCATTATTGGAAATATGGCCTTGATGATAGAAATGATGCTGGAGATCGCATGATAGAATTTTGCAGACCAATGACTTATTCATTTCAAATATCTTTTTTCAACAACATAAATGGCGACTATACACGTAGACCTCACCAGAAGGAAAACATGGGAATCAAATCGAATACATCTGTGGAAAGAGACGTTGGAGAAGCTCACTATCATCAGTCAGAACAAGGCCAGGGGCCGACTGTGGAACGGACCATCAATTGCTCATAGGCAAGTCCAAGCTGAAGCTGAAGAAAATTAAAACCAGACCACGAGAGCCAAAATGCAACCTTGAGTATGTATATGCCACCTGAATTTAGAGACCATCTCAAGAATAGATTTGACACATTAAACCCTAATGACCAAAAAACCAGACGAGTTGTAAGATGACATGAAGGACATCATACATGAAGAAAGTAAAAGGTCACTGAAAAGACAGGAAAGAAAGAAAATGCCAAAATGGACGTCAGAAGAGACTCTGAAACTTGCTCTTGAACGTTGAGTAGCTAAAGCAAATGGAAGAAACAATGAAGTAAAAGAGTTGAACAGAAGATTTCAAAGGGCGGCTTGAAAAGACAAAGTAAAGTCTTATAGTGAAATGTGCAAAGACCTAGAGTTAGAAAACCAGAAGGGAAGAACATGCTCAGCAATTCTGAAGCTGAAAGAACTGAAGAAAAAAATCAAGGCTTGAGTTGCAATATTGAAGGATTCTATGGCCAAAATATTGAACAACTCAGGAAGCATCTCAAGAAGATGGAAGGAATACACTGTCACTGTACAAATAAGAATTGGTCAATGTTCAACCATTTCAGGAAGTAGCATATGATCAAGAAGCAATGACATTGAAGGAAGAAGGCCAAGCTGCACTGAAGGCATTGGTGAAAAACAAGCCTCCATGTATTGATGGAATACCAATTGAGATGTTTCAACAAACAAATGCAGTGCTGGAGGTGCTCACTTGTCTATCCCAAGAAATTTGGAAGACAGCTACCTGACAACCGACTAGAAGAGATCCATATTTGTGCTGGTTCCAGAGAAAGGTGATCCAATGGAATGTGGAAATTATCAAACAATATCATTAATACCACACACAAGTAAAATTTTCCTGTAGATAATTCAAAAGTGATTGCAGCAGTACACTGACAGGGAACTGCCAGAAATTCAGGCTGGATTCAGAAGAGGACGTGGAATGAGGGGTATCATTGTTGAGGCCTGATGGATCTTGGCTGAAAGCACAGAATACCAGAAAGATGTTTACCTGTGTTTTATTGTCTATGCAAAGACTTCCAACTGTGTGGATCATAACAAATTATGGATAACATAGCAAAGAAAAGGAATTCCAGAACACTTGATTTTGCTCCTGAGGAACCTGTACGTAGACCAAGAGGCAGTCGTTTGAACAGAACAAGGGATACTGCATGGTTTAAAATGAGGAGAGGTGTGCATCAGGGTTGTATCCTTTCACTGTACTTATTCAGTATGTTTGCTGAGCAAATAATCTGAGAAACTGGACTATATGAAGAAGAACCAGGAATCAGGATTGGAGAAAGACTCGTTAACAGCCTCTGACATACAGATGACACAACCTTGCTTGCTGAAAGCAAAGAGGACTTGAAGCACTTAGTGATGAAGATCAAAGATTACAGCCTTCAGTATGGATTACACCTCAACTAAAGAAAACAAAAATCCTCACAACTGGACCAATAAGCAATATCATGATAAATGGAGAAAATGTTGAAGTTGTCAAGGATTTCATCCTACTGGCATCCACAATCAATGCCCACGGAAGCAGCAGTGAAGAAATTAAATGACATATTGCATTGGGCAAATCTGCTGCAAAAGACCTCTTTAGAGTGTTAAAAAGCAAAGATGTCACTTTGAGGACTAAGGTATGACTGACCCAAGCCACAGTATTTTCAATCGCCTCATGTGCATGTGAAAGCTGGACAATGAATAAGAAAGAACAAAGAAGAACTGATGCCTCTGAATCAGGGTGTTGGTGAAAAATATTGAATATACCATGGACTGCCAGAAGAATGAACAAATGTGTCTTGGAAGAAGAACAACCAGAATGCTCCTTATAAGGGAGGATGGTGACACTTCATCTTTCATACTTTGAACATGTTATCAGCAGGGACCAGTCCCTGGAAAAGGACATCTTGCTTGGTAGAGAGTCAGCGAAAAAGAGGAAGACCCTCAAGAGATGGACTGAAACAGCGACTGCAACATTGGGCTCAAAGATAGCAACGATTTTGAGGATCTGAAGAACCGGGCAGTGTTTCATTCTGTTGTACGTAGGATCAGTATGAGTCAGAACTGACTCGACAGCACCCAACAACAACAACACATGTAGTATGTGTGGTGTATGTCTGTGGGTGTTCTGCGGAATTCCAGAGTTTTTCATTGCCCTGGAAAAGACAAAAAGATTTCAATGCTGGATTGTTCTACTCATTCCCTGATTTCAGAGACATCAAGAGCAGTGTCGCTATCAGTCAGAATCAAATCGATGGCAATGAATTTGGGTTTTTTTGGTGCCCCTTTTGGACAATATAAAATTACAGGTTCTTTTATTGGCCAAGTACACTGGAAAATGAAATTAAAAGCACAATACCATTTATAATCACTCCAGTGAAAAGGAAATACTTAGGCATACACCTAAAAAAAATGTAGAGGAGCTGGTGCTGAAAATTACAAAAAGCTGATGCAATAAAACAAAGAAGGCCTAAATAAATGG